TTTGGTATTAGGAAGTTCTCTTGCTTTAAAAGATGTAATTGTAATAGTGAGCCTGAAAACAACATTGTTCACAATATCATCTCTGTTTCAGCCTCCTTTTCATGTTGCTTTAGAGCAGTGATATTTCCCTGTGGCTCTTCTGAGCACTGTTCCCTAGTGTGGCCTCTGCCCCGTGTTTCAGGCAAGTGGGTAAGGTAAGGAAAGACCTTGCCTGGAGGGGTTTGTGATTAGCAGATGGTTTCCTCCTTGAAATGGCTGCTGCCAGAGGAACGGGTAAGCTGCAAACCTCCCTAAGGTGCAGGCCTCATCCCAGTGCTGGAAGTAAATGTAGCTCTTCTGGTTCATAGCAACTGTGAATGTGACTTCTCTATAAGTTACAGAAGAGGAGGAGGAGGAGATTGGATTTATACCTCACCCTTCACTCGGAGTCTCAGAGTGGCTTACAAATGCCTTTCCCTTCCCCTCCCCACAACAGACACCCTGTGAGGTAGGTGGGGCTGAGAGAGCTCTTTCAAGAACTGTCCTTGAGAGAACAGCTCTGACAGAACTATGGCCTGCCCAAGGTCACCCAGGAGCTGCAAGTGGAGGAGTGGGGAATCAAACCCAGTTCTCCCAGATTAGAGTCTGCACACTTAACCACTACACCAAACTGGCTCCACTGCTAAGCACCACTGCTATAGAACCTTGCAGCTTGGCTCCATGATTAACTTGTACAATTTGTTGCTAAAATTTATATTGGCCCCGGTCACACGGCAAAGTTGCCGCGGGAGAGGCACGGATGGTGGGTGGATTATCCGGGCGCGATCACACCCCAACATCTGGGAAGTGGAGCGCACCCGTGGCTTACCGCCGACAATGCGCCTTAAAAAACTAGTACCTCCAAGGTACTAGTAAACGTTTGCCACGGGCTGCCTCCAGATGCCCATGGTGTGATCGCGCCGGCGTGCGTGGTGTGCCACCGGTTCCTCCGTTACCTGCCGGCGCCGAGGGAAGGACCCGTGGTGTGCCACCGGTGCGTCTGATTGCGTAATCGTGCATCAAACTGCGCCGGGGCAATTAGCCTCCCCTCCCCTCCGCGATATCTGGCCTGTGTGACCGGGGCCATAGATGATACCTGCCTAGATGGCTTTAAAGCAGACAAATTCATGGAGGATAGATCTATTGATGACTTTAACAACAATGACAAAAATGGAATGATTATGTTCAAAAACAGGATATCTCTTCATACCAGTTGCCTTGGTGAGGGGTGGGTGGGTAAATGGTGGGGCTTCTGGAATGCTGGGCTTATGAGCTTTCTGGGAGCATCTAGGTGTCCACTGCTTGAAAGAGGATGCTTGGCTTCATAGACACAAAGGGTAATTGTTACGTTCTTACATTATGCTTCATTTCTGTCAGGTGACCTTGCATATTTTCTGTCATAATACTGTGCTATATTTACTGCACTGCAGAAGTATCTCTCAGTACCTACGCTTATGTACCTACCTTTAGTGCTGCCCTCAGAGGTTGCCCTGGGTTTTCCCAACTGAGGAAATATAGAAATGCTGTGGCAGATGCATGCATGTGCACTCTGTGCTCTGGTGTTAAGGCTATTGAGAGTAAGAGAAAAGTAGTTTTGTTTTCTTCCTAGGAAACCTGGTACAGCATGGAAGCAAACTGAATACTCCCTGCTAGTTAAACAAATGCAATGCTGTACTGTGGCAGAGGTGATGGTAAAGGGGGAGGGGGGGAGACACAGAGAATCACTCTCACTTAATTTATTAGATGTTTTCTGTGTGTATGTAATCTCATCCTTTTACAATTCTTTCTACAGCTCCCAAGAACACGATCAGTTTTGCTCTCTTGTTATGTGTGTCATTCAGTTTAGAATGAAATCAGCTAAGTGTGTACTCGCTGGTTAGAGTAAACTGTCAAACAGAATTAAATCCATAGAGGCGGTTACTCTTGTTGTTGGCAAGAAGTTTCTTGAACACAAACAATTTTGCTTTCTTGTTATGTGTGATGTTACAGTTTAGAGTGAAATCAGCCAAGTGTGAATTTACACAAGCTTCTCAATGGGACATTAATTTAATTATGACAGAATAGATGGCAGTACTGGTAACTGAACTCTTGAACAATGTCCTTTGTATGTTCCAAGAGGTCCCCCCCCCCGCCACTGTTCCAGTTGGCATGTAGGAGACACGTCTGCTGGTGCTCTTGTAGTAGTTCTGGAAACAAACATTAGAGTTCCAAGTTTTAACTTATTAGCCAGATTGATTAATCAAATTAAAACTTTTAATTGAAGATTGGCCTTCCTTCTTTCACCCCACTTAATTGATAGAAGTGAAAATAGTTGAAATCATTACCACTGCAGTCTTCAGCAGAGTTAAAAAGGTAAAGGTAAAGGTTCCCTTGCTCGAAAGCCAGTCGAGTCCTACTCTAGGGTTGCGGTGCTCATGTCCGTTTCAAAGACGTTTCCGTGGTCATGTGGCCGGCATGACTAAACACCAAGGCGCACGGAACGCTGTTACCTTCCCACCGAAGTGGTACCTATTTATCTACTTGCAATTTCTTGCTTTTGAACTGCTAGGTTGGCAGGAGCTGGAACTAGAGATGGGAGCTCACTCCATCATGCGGCACCCGGGTCTCGAACTGCTGAACTACTGACCTTCCACAGCCTGCAGTTCAGCATCTTAACCACTTGAGCCACCGCAGCTCCTTCAGCAGAGTTAACTCAGAGTTAACACCCTTCTTATCCATTGAAATCATTGGGTTTGAAAGAGTGCAGCTATACTTAAGATTGCACTTGTTCATCTTATACATTTTTATTTTCCATAATACTACTGATAGGTGTTTAGTTCTTCTGCATTTTAAGCAAATTTGGCTCCAGTGTGTCAATCTAATTTCAAATGTTCTACCTCACACCTCATGAACAAGAACACATTAAAGACTACCTTTTCTTGTATATTTAAATATTACTTTATAGTTTGCCTTTCTCACTGAGATGAAAGGTGGATTGCACAGTGGAAGTCAATGCAATCACTTGTATGAGACATCTGAAACAAAGCACAGACAGAGTATTAGACATGATGAGTTAAACCGTGCAGAAGATGGTATTGCAAGTTGTCACATAAATGCACAAATGAAATTATGTCTTCTTTTTAGGATCTGCAAAAAAGGGCCATCATTGATGTTTTCTATGGATACCAAATTAGAAAACCTTGGATAGAGTGATTTATTGGTTTGATTTAGAGCCGCAGTTGTAGCACCCAAATATGACGATGATTCAAGTAAATGGAAACACTTTTTTAAAAGCCTCCTGTGTAGGAGCAACATGAACAGCTTGTGGGAAGGTTGAGCCTTGTGACGTAGTAGATGCTAAGATTCTAATGCCAGGATTAGCTGCTTATTTTTGGTTGTCTGCAGGCTTTGATGCACAGTAGCAGTTGCTGGGCATCAGAGAGCTGCCACTCAGATTGTGGTAACCTCTGTCTCACCTTTGTTAATTTTAACTCGCTCATCTGTCTAGGAGCATTGGCACTTTGGATTTTCTGTAAGACTACCGATATTTCAGGTTGAGGATGGAGCCAGAACGAGATAGTCAAAACAGTAGCAATATATTTTACTACATATTTTGTTGCTTTCCTGTATACGGTATACCTGAGTCTGTCTGAAAGCCTCAAGTGATTTTAGAAGCACAACAGTGATGTTTGCCAATATTTTATCATAAAAGAAAAGAGTATTATTTATCACCTGTAGTTGCAAATTCAAACTAATTTAAATTTCCTCATATGTATCAGGTCCTCTGTGCTACAGAAGAATACCCTAAGCATTAAAAGCAATTATTGAAATGTCTTTCCAGTCTCTGTTTTGAAAGTTCTTAGAGAGGGGCAGCTCAGCAAAGTTGTTCTTGCATTTTCATATGAATAATATGAAGCTTCTGCTACTGAGACTACTTTAAAAGAGCCAGTTTGGTGTAGTGGTTAAGTGTGCGGACTGTAATCTGGGAGAGCCGGGTTTGATTCCCCACTCTTCCACTTGCAGCTGCTGGATGACCTTGGCCAAGCCCTAGTTCTGACCTGTCCTTGAAAGAGCAGTTCTCTCAGAGGTCTCTTAGCCCCACCTGCCTCACAGGGTGTCTGTTGTGGGGAGGGGGAGGGAAAAGGAGTTTGTAAGCCGCTCTGAGACTCTGAGTGAAGGGCGGGGTATAAATCCAATCTCCTCCTCCTCCTCCTCCTCTTCTTCTTCTTCTTCTTCAAGTCATTTTTGTTTCCTCATATGCAATGTAGTTTTATGGTATGAAGTTCAAATTTGTTGTGTTTTAAGCTGTCCTAAGTAGGTATGGTGACCAGTAGTTTTTCTTTTCCCATATCTCCCCCACTGATGCCCCTAAGAACACTGAAGCTTAAGTGGAACCATCCCTCTAGGATTTGCCTTCTCCACGCTCATGTTATTTATTTTGAAAGAAAAATAACAAAGCTGTATTCAAACAGTGTTTAAAATAGGGTTTTTAGGTATCTAGGAAAGCGAAGTCTCAGTAGTATCATTATAGTACCACAAGCATCTACAACGTTCAAGAATGTACAGTAACAAATCCAATATCCTTCTGCATGCATAATTATTATTATTGAAATGAATCCTGTTCATACACATATAATAGTTTAGGGTATTTTATATATACTGGAACTTGTAGCTCTATCTGTAAGTTTAGTTCAGTGCATGTAAGTACTATTTATGCATGATGCTCATAACAGGATGGAAATCCAGAGGTGTTAATTTAGTGTGGGGTGTGTGTTAAAAGAAAACACTGAAGCGGACCATTTCACAGAACTCCCCCACTGCCATCTATGAGACATTCAAAAGTACCCTGTAATTGGTCAGTGTCTTAAAAGCCATCAATTCCTAAACATACAAAGTTTTAAAACAATCTTAGCTGTGTCAGGATATTGTCTTTCATTTCTTGAGATCGGTAACGTTTTGCTTGTGCTGTACTCCACTCACATGATGACAATCTTTCTCCCCAGATCATTCCACCTCAAGTGGTACTTCCTCGTTTAAGCCCAGCCGTTCACTGGTCTCAATTCCTACTGCCCATGTGATGCCGTCTAATGCCAGCTCTTCGTTTTCCAAACACAGGGAACCTTTCAAGTCTGATGGTTCAAAGTGGAGTATGAGCCTTTTAAGGACTGCTGGAAGCAGGCATCAGGGTATGCTGGACAGTTCTCTTGACATGAAGGACTTAAGGCCTGTAAGGAAATGGTCATCTTTATCTAAGCTAAGCACACCTGCTACCTGTAGCCAGGATGGAAGCGTTCACTCAGCAGAGTGCAGAACCAGCATGAATAAAATGGGAAGAGAGGAAACTCTGGCACTGCAGTTAAGAACAAATGGAACAGGCTGCTTGCACAATAGTATGGAACTACTCAAAATCAAGGACAGAGACATGGGGGGGAAACGGAGCTCCACCTTGGACTGCAAATACAAATTTGAAAGTTGCAGCAAAGAAGACTTGGATGTTCCTGATCCTTCAGACAGGAGACATGCCTTAGACATGACGTATAGTGCCTTACCAGAAACCAAGCCTGCTACATCAAACTGTGAAGTTTTTGGACAAGGATATATACCTTTGAGACCGCAGGCTGTGAGTGGGGTTCCCATCCAGCCATCTGAGAGGACTCAGAGGTGGCTTACTGAACAATTTCATACAAACCCTCCAGACCCCAGGCCTTCTGATGGGTCATACAGTTTATCCTCTTGGCAGTTACAACAGCTTGAAGAACTTCGAGCCAGAAGTGAATATCCTGTGCAGGTAAGGAAAGAAATTTGGTGTTTGCTGCCACCGTGTGGATAGAAAGGCAGATGACATCAAACAGCATGCAATTGAATAAAGTTCCTCTAAATAACATGTGGTACCGCATGTATCGTCTAAAGGCTGTTACTCTTTTAAAGATGGTGTTCGTAGATTTTATTCAATTCACTTCAGTCTCCTCCTTTTTCCAGCTTTGCAGAGACCATTGATTAGGGCTATATATGCACTTTAAACAGTAACATCTTTGTGGCTAGCTCCATATGCAGCCCATTGCACTTATGCTCAATTAAGCCTTGTGCACTGTGTTGGATTTAGGGCATTGCCTTTGATTTTGATATTATAGTTAACTTAAATAATTTAGTTCTTTGGTGAAGTCCCTCCTTCCTAGTCCAAAGACTTGAGGCACATTCTTGCCTTGAAGAAGGAACACTGTGTTTAAGAATGTGTTTTCCATATTGTTTTGCGACAATTACAGCTTAGGAAAATATGTCTTAATCTTCTGTTTCTCCCATTTGCTTGTTTATGGAACAAAGATGTGCCCACATTGTGAGTGAAGGGGGCAGTTAAAACAAAAAAGTGAAATTATTTTTAATTAGTAACCATTACATCATGTATGGTGCTTTCTGTGCAAATATCCATGTCCTGATATCATTGCATCTCATAAAATACTTTATGTTGGGGAAATTCAGGTCAGTGGTTTATGCGGTGAAGGTCTTTACTAACACCACAGAAACAAGGATTCAGTCTTATATGTTTTGACTAGATCATAATTCATTTAAGCCAAATTTTGGTTCTTTAAATTTTTTGGCATAGATAGTTTTCAGGTGATGTTCCAGGTAACTCCCTTGAAATATGGCTGTCCCAGAGATTATTTATTTATTTGTTTGTTAGATTTTTATTCCGCACTCCATGCCTAGGCCAGCTCAGGGCGGCTTACAAACAGAATAAAATTCCAATAATACAATCACGTAAAATCACATAAATTAATATAAGTACAGTATTAAAGCTCAGACATAATAAAGTGCTAGCAACATTCCTCCTTTTACAGTCAACTCTTCGGCCTTCTTTGGCTGTCTCGGATGATTGGCTTGGGCAGTATTTGAGGGACCAGTGGATCAGGGTTCTGCCAGCATAGATATCAATTGTTGGCGGTAGCGGTATTAGTGGTGGCGGCGCCAAAAGCCTGGTGGAAGAGCTCCATTTTACAGGTCGTGCGGAACTGTGAGAGGTCCCACAGGGCCCTGGTCTCTTCTGGGAGCTCGTTCCACCAGAGTGGAGCCACCACCAAAAAAGCCCTGGTCCTAGTTATCACCAATCTGGCTTCCTTGAAACTCGGGAGAGCCAGCCGATTCTGGGTCCCAGATCGCAGCATCCTCTGGGGTACATATGGGGAAAGGCGGTCCCTCAGGTATGCAGGTCCCTGGCCATAAAGGGCTTTAAAGGTAAGAACCAGCACCTTGAAGCGAACCCGATATGCTATAGGCAGCCAGTGCAATGTCTTTAGCACAGGTCGGATGTGCTTCCGAATCGGGATTCCCATCAACAACCTGGTTGCGGCGTTTTCCACCAGCTGCAGCAATTTATGTAACCTTCCAGAGAGCTTCACACATATTGAACAACAACTCTATAAAGTAGACCAATATTATTATTATTTATATAATTGCTATAATAGGATTTTAAGTGAATGTGGAAAATGAAACATAGCATATCGGAGGAAAGAGAGATGTCTAAATGATTCCATGTGTGAAAATTCTCATGTAACAAGTAAATTTATATTGATGCAGCAATATAAGGTAATTCAGTATTTTTATAGTCTGTGTTTCAAAGAGATTTTGAGCGAAGGAGGAAGCACATGAATATAGTATTGGGGATTTTTCAGACCCTGTAGAAATTAACACCACAGGTCTTACAAATACACCACCCCAGTGCCATTGTGTAAACTCCGGAGCACGACGGAAGGCAGGAGGGCCTGGCGTGATATGGTTCATGGGGTCACAAAGAGTCGGACTTGACTGTGCGACTGAACAACAATAACATTACAGTGGATTTGTTGTTAAATGTGTCTTATTGTTTATTTAAACTAAGAACAGATATAATCAGCAAGATGTTCTTTGCAAGTATAGCAGGGTTAAACTACACCTGATAACTTCAAAAAAGACTTTCAGAGTATATCTTGGCTCTGTGGTGAGGATTACTGTTGTAATCTGGCTGTGTTTTTAATCCATTTCCATGTTACATTTTTATTGTATGTTTTTAAAATGACTTTAGATAGAGAAACTGAGGACGTGTGGTTGCTAATCAGATCATGAAACATAGGTTTTTAGTTTAGGCTATTCTGCAAATGCTGAGTTCACCAATGGGTATCTGCATCTTGGACTTTGCAGAAATTTTTGTCAAATATTCCTGATGTAGTAAGACCCCTCCCAATACATAATTAATTTTGTATACATTAAGATAATTTACATCGTACTTTTAAATTGATGCATCTTCTGCACTGGTTAGTTATAGCAATATTGTGGCATTTTTATTTGCTGTATATATTGGATATATGAAAAGTGTGATCTTTCCATCAACTTCAGTAAACTGCAGTAGTATTTATTTATTCATTTATACCCAACTCCCCCCCCCACACTGAGGACCCAAACCGGTTTACATTGTCATCCTCTGTTCTGTTTTATCCTTACAACAACCCTGTGAGGAAGGTTAAGCTGAGAATGTGTGACTGGCTCAAGGTCACTCACCAAGCTTCCATGGCAGTGGGGATTTGAATTTGGGATCTCCCAGATCCTAGTCGATTACTCTAACCATTGCGTCACCAGTAGCATGCAGTAAATTGGTACGACCTGTACGGATTATACAGAAATCCCATAAAATAATGACAAAGTATAGACACTTAAAATTATTTAGTTAAATGTTTCAGCTTCCACCTGTAACACAGTTGACTTTCACACCAGGCACTGGTGACAGTTCCCTAAAAATGGAGAGAATTCTCAGGAAGATGGCATCTGCGATATAAGTACTAGAGAGGTTAAAAAAATTACAAGTATAAGTAAATGTTTAAGAGTGTTTGGCTGTTCAGTCTATATATCTAAAAATTTTGTCTTGCTTTTGTTGGTACAGGTGTGAATGATTTTACTGCTGGAAATAGTTCCACCATATCTGAAATGTCGTGTTCTTCAGAATTAAGTGTCTTTCAATAAGTTGTTCAGTATTTTCATTGCTGACTCATGATTTGTGAAATGGTTATGAAAGTCTGTGGTTGTTACCCCGACATAATGCAAGATGTTTGAGTTCTGTAACATTCACTACATAGTTAGGCATCCTAGTGAGTTTCAATAAGATGTTCATATGGAAGCCCAAATGTATCACAAGGATGCTCAGTGACATGATATGTAAAGTTCCTGTTGTAAAATTTTTCTTTATTCTGTGTGAAACATAAATCTCTAAATAAGCTGACAAGACTATAGTATGTTAGTTAAGAGTAGTAGCAGTAAAGAGTAGTAGCAGTAACAGCAGCAGAGATAAAAGAAACCTAGATAGAGCTGTCTGTTGTTCTCATGTCTCAATTACGCTATTTTAACTTGTCAGGCCTTTGGAGATAAAGATTGAATAACTGCTGGCCTAAAGTTAGTGGTGTGGATATGAGCTTGTTGCCCTGACCTAGGTAGCCTGTGCTAGCCCTATCTAATCAGATCTTGGAAGCTAAGCAGGGCCGGCCCTGGCTAGTATTTGGATGGGAGACCTCCAAGGAATACCAGGGTCATGTCATGAAGGCAGGCAATGGCAAACCGCCTCAAATGTCTCTTGCCATGGTAGTTATGCCAATAAAAGGTTTGACTGGACTGGAAAACCCCATGGGCCACCGTAAGTCAGCTGTGACTTGGATGGCACTTTCCTCCACCACCACCATGAGCTTGTGGGCTTAAAGCTCCAGTAAAGCTTTGAAAAAACTTTGAATTGATTAAGATCAACTATGGAAAACTGGATTGCATTAAAGGTACGTGGCTGATATGCTGCAATTGAATAAACTTTGAAAGCAAAAGGAGGATTGAATAGCTGTAAAAGCCCCCCCTCCTCTTATTACTCTCCCCCTTCCCCAAATAAAAGTCACAGAACTCCTTTCTTGCTTCAAATAAACTGCATCTCTCTTTATGTCGTCAAAGGCTTTCACGGCCGGAGTTCATTAGTTGCTGTAGATTTTCCGGGTTGTGTGGCCGTGGCCTTGGCATTGTAGAACCTGACGTTTCTACAATGTAGTACTCCATCTTTCTGACTTATACCTCTGAGGATGCCAGTCACAGTTACTGGCGAAACGTCAGGTTCTACAATGCCAAGACCACAGCCACACAACCCGGAAAATCTACAGCAACTAATGCATCTCTCTTTTTCTGTAATTATTTTCACATTTTTTTAAAATAAGCCACCCTTTTTTCTATATCTTGGTTTCTAGAGCTGCAGGGTTTTGTTTAGTGCTTTTTCCTTTCTTTCTTTATGTCCTGTTTGCAGAATCTATCATTTTACAAATGCACAGTCTGTCTGTTCTTTGGTACACATACAAATATAAGCATTTGGTATATCATGCTGGTGACGATGCTGTAGTTTGCCTTCATCCATACCATACCACTCCCGTACAGGCTTTGAACCTCTAAGTCTCTGGTTTGAGTTCTCCACTTACTGCATTGTGGTATAAAAATACACACACCAGTAAATCAGTGTTTTTAATTTGTCTACTAAAAGTGACGCTTTCCTGAACTGCAGTTTGTTGGCTTATGGGGTCTCTGTATAGGTTCACATGGCTTGAAGTCTCAAGTTACCATAGTGGGATACAAGTAAACAACAACAATTCACATGAGCTTCACAAGGATGAACATGAGAACAAGAACCAGGAAAATAAGCAGGAAATTGAGTATTAAGTTTAGTCCTCTGTTGGCAGCAAGATCCATTCTGGGATAGCTCTTGTGCTTTTCTTGTATTTGGAACAGAAGTTTTGATTGCAGTTC